TTCTATAGCATCATCAATCAACGTTGCTATCAACAAACTTAATAGTGACAAATCTGTGGTCTCCCAATCTTGAAAGGCAGCAGTCAGTTCTTTGGTAACCCCAATTTCTGCACTAACCACAAATTTCGATGGACAAGGAGCTGAACCATCAAAATGATCGAATAGTTTGTACCCTTTTAACACAGACTTGAATTGAAAGGACCATTTGGTGTAATTGTGCTTACCAAGTCGAATAGTCAACATGCCCAACAATCACTCAATTTTCACAGAGGGAGCCATACCTAATATAGTTCAAGAATCAACCTTTTAACAACTCTTCGAATAATTCTCAGAAAAACAAAACAATTTTCTTGAAACAAACTTCTGACTAACTCAAATTTCTTGAATCAATGGCATTGGCCTTTAGATTCCTTCTTAGCACAAAGTAATGGTATTGGCCTTCTCAACTACCCAGTGCTCAACAACTATCTAATAATGGCTTTGGCCTTCAGAACTTTATCTTCGCAAATCAAACAAAATTACTGAACACAATCTACTCAAAGATACCAGAATTGCCCAAAAGCATTTCAAGAAAAAAGACAATATATTGAAGCACTGTAAACACAGAACCTGAAATTTCTGCAGATTCCACCTTCATTGCATATAGAAAACCCCAAATCGCCAAGAAAAATACTCCAAATCACCAGACAAATCTGCAAACCATCATGCTTCCATCAATGATTCTGACGAGCACAGACCCACGCACGATCGCTGGCTCTTGATACCATGATAACTCCAAGAACTCTTAGAAGATGAAGATCGAAGAATTCAAGAAGCTTGAGAAAGAAAAGTTAGAGAGAGAAAGAAGATAAGCAGCGGAAAAGAGATGACCAACTGAATTGAATGAATAACAAACGTTTTTACAGTAGCTTTTATAACACCACATTCCTAACTAATTTGCCTATGTGGCAATCCTCTACACCTCTCCTTATTACATTCTAACCAATCAATATTCAACACCTATACTTTAGTTATTACCGTTTAGTTCGAGTGAAATTGTTTTAGGCTATATAGGGAAGAAAGAGACAGAGTGAGAGAATGAGAAAGAAGAGAGAAAGAGGGTAAGGTCACTCTGATTGGACGACAGAAAGAGACAATGAGTGGAATTGGTGGAGAAGTGTGGCTTTCCTAAAGAGTGGGGGCATGATTTAAGGGAAATTTGTCCACAATTGGATAAATTCCAAAAGCCAAAAAATCATATTTCCTCCCTATCCAAAACAGTGTCCACTGACATTTTTTTTTATCACAAAATACACGTGTGAGTTTCACACAATCTCAAAATTTACCAGTTGTTATCGAACTTTAAACGAGCGTATTCTCTTTGTTACAAGTCTGGTTTGGGTTTAGGATGCGTCCTCACGTTTTCATATTGTCGATTAGTATTAAATATGATAAAAGAAAGACGAATTAAGTGCCAAGCTCAAACGTCTACATAAGATCCCATTTATCCAAAAAGGGCATTTTTGTTATTTTACAAACTCTGAAAAGAAATTACAAGGAAAATTAGGGATGGGTTGTCATACTAGATGACATTGTATAGAAGCATAAAGTAAGGTTGGTTGCCAAGGGTTAATCTCAAAAGCCATAAATGGATTACAATAAGACTTTTGTTCATATTGCTACATTGGACACTATAAGGACACTCATTGCACTTGCAGCTTAGCAAAGCTAAAAAATGTTTCAACTTGATGTTAAATCAGTTTTCTTGAATATAATGTTGAATGAAGACGTTTTATGTGGATCAACATGAGGGATTCATTGTCTCATGTTCTGAAGATAGTGTATAATCTTAGAAAAACTTTATATGGTTTAAAAAAGCTTGTAGAGCTTAGTATTAAGAGAACAACTATTACTTGCTTGAATATGGTTCATAAAGAAGTTAGTGAAGCTATTTTGTACATCAAAACTAAAGAAGGAGGAGAATCACTAATTGTCTCAATCTATGTTGATGATATTGTTCACACTAGAAGCAGCATGAGGCTAATCATGAATTTAAGGATGACATGATGAGAAAGTATGAGATGACAGACATTGGACTGCTATACCACTTTCTAGGAATGTGAATTGTTCAAATTGAGCATAGGCTCTTCATAAACCAAAAGAAATATGCACTGGCTCCTCTTGAAAAGTTTGGTTTGAAGGACTGCAAGCCAGTGAGCATTCCTTTAGCAATGATTGAGAAGCTTAAGAAGAATGATGGAAGTTAGCTTGCAAATGAAGCAATGTATAGGAAATTGTTGAGAGTTTGTTATATCTCATTGCAACAAGGCTTGACATAATGCTTGCAACAAGCCTATTATCAAGATTCATGCACAATCCAACCAAGAAGCACCTTGAAACTGCAAAGAAAGTACTCAAGTACATCCAATGAACTATTGACTTTGGGATTGAATATGTTAAAGGGAAATCAACAATGCTTGTGGGTTATTATGATAATGATTGGAGAGGTGATGCAACTGACATGAAAAGTACATCAGGCTATGTCTTTACATTTGGCAGTGGCATTTTTGCTCAGGTAGTTTTGAAGCAACATAGTGTTGCATTGTCAACTACTAACGTTGAGTATGTTAGTGCCTCTGAGACTACAACTCAAGTAGTTTGGCTAAGGTTTGTGCTTGAGGACTTTAGAGAATTGCAAACTGATGTAACTCCCCTGTACTGTGACAACCAATCAGCTATACCAATGACAAAGAACCTTGTCCTTCATCTAAGATCAAAGCATATTCACAGAATGTACCATTACATCAGGAATGCTTTGTAAAATATCATAATCAATCTTGTTTTCTGCAAATCTGAAGAACAATTGGCAGACATCTTTACAAAAGTTTTGGCAAAAAACAGATTCTATATTCTCAGGAGTATGCTTAGAGTCAAATTTGCAACAACCTTAGAAGGGAGCGTTGATGAATAAGCTTGTTGCAGAGATCATTTTCTTAGAGTTCAAGTTTTATGGAAATTTTTCATTTGATTTAGTTTTTACATTAAGTGAACCATATGCAGCTCACATGAAGTAGTTTTCGCTGATGACTCGTGGGGCTCGTATGGAGTCACAATGGTCACATTTTGTCATTTTTAAATTAATGAGTCGATATTAATTTATATTTTTACTCTATTCTTGGTATTAATTTATTGGCTATTATGTGCAAATACTTTGGGTTATATTTCAATTATAGGACATGTGAGTCTACTTTGAGCAAAAAGTGACCAAATGAATGAATTTTGGAGTAATTCCAATTGGAGCGGGTTTGTGAGTCCTTTAAGTTGTTCGTGTCAAAGTTCCATATTTTTATGCCAAATTGTTGGATTATGGTGAATTAATTAAGGCCCAAAGTGCAGTGATGGTAGATTGACTTATTAAGCTCAATTGCAACTTTTGGGGCATGAAGATGGCGTTTTCTGGAGTTAGGCTCTTCTTGAACTTGAAGAGGATGTCCTAACCTTCAAATAAAAATAAATAAATAAAAAAAGGATCTTTGGGGCTGGATTTGATGCTGTGATGGGCCAGAAACGTGAAGGATTTCTAGGTGGGCAAATTCTACATGTTTGATTCGTAATGTATTATTTAGTTTCCGAGTTCTATTCTAAGATCATGTTAGGAATGATTTAATTGTAGTAGAATAAATAGGCTTAACTGTGCCTTGGGGTTTTTTGGGTTGTACGCCGCATTGAGAAAGAACTCGGCATAGATAGATTTGCAGACTTTAATGCAAGGTGTTTCCATCTTTTTCTTCTTAATGATATATTGCTTTTTAATCATTAATATGTGTAATTGATATTTTTTTTTAGGGCGAGGTCAGGAATTAGCATGAATATGTAGTTTATATCAATTTGCTTATGGATTAATGCATATTTGCTTTGAATTATTAATTAATGTGTTTAAACCATCTACATGTCTTGATCATTAGCCACTATTAGGATATTTAGACAAGTAATTGGATGCAATTCTGTTAGACTATCACCTTAGAAAATTGATTAGAGCTTCTCGTGATTGATAACTGTAATTTCACTTAAAGCAAATATCACGCTCTTAGGGGTTGCATGGGTTTTCAAAATATTTTCACAAAGTTTAATGAGTTGTGCATGTTCATATTTGCTTGAATATCATAAGAAGAATATGCATTAGAAAAACCTAACCTTGAAAGCATGTATATGGTAATTTCATAAGTAATTGGTAGGAACTACATAAGATTGTTAATGACGAGTGCTAAACACTAGTTCCTTTTTCAATTAATTTTTCTTAAAAAGTGTGTTTTTCTTCTTTGCTGCCACGTTTTGTAAAAATCTAATTTCAATTATTTTAGTTTTCTTGTTCTGTCTTTCGATTTCAACTTTTCAAGTATTTTCTAAAACTTGTTTTAAATAATTAACTAAGAATTTGTTTTAAATACTAATAATTTACATTAATTTTTACGGAAAATGATCTTGTTGGAGTCATTTATATTATGGTAACATTATTCTCTTATAAGCATTTTTTGATGTTTTTAACCCTTTTATGCAAGTGGTAAAAATCCTATTATAAAACACACACTTATGTAATAGAATTCAAGGAGCAGCGAACTCCTTCTTCTTCGAATTCTGTCAGCAATACCAGTGCATTTCTTCGATTTCTTGCAAAACAATTTCAGGGCCACAAACATTAACATTTCTTTCTTTGATGCTCCATGTACAGGCACACAACACGAATAAATAAAATCTCAAAAAGGATAATGATGACTAAATTTTTTAAACCAAATGATGTGGTTGTAGATGATTGGATGATTAATTAAGTATCGATTAACGTGCCTATTTTTTTATTTGTAATATATTATTTGGTTTAAAAAATTTGATCACCTTAGTATTATCCTCCAAAAAAATAATGCAGAAATTAAAATCTTGAAGTTGACCAAAGTTTACTGCAAACCCTACGGAATAATGCAGTCACACCAACGTAGACGAATGCAACCGAAAATGACGTGGCTTTATTAGTAACTTGGATGATGACCAGGAGGAGCATAAGAAGGTCTGATGTCAGCTGCACCACCACCACCACCATATCCATGTTGCTCTACGGGAACTTCGACTGGAGTTGGCTCAGCACCATATCGTCCTCCTCTAACTACCGCAACTTGGACATGTTCTTCTTCTTCCTCAACACAAGGAACAGGTGCGGGAATCATCACTTTCTTCTTTTTCTTCTTAGCAAAACAAAAGAGACCGACCAAGAGGAATGCAAGGAAGAATGCACCACCCAGGGAAACGCACACCGCGATAACGGTGGTGTGGTTTTTCCCCGGAGGCGGTGCAACGATTTCGAATGAGGGTGGTACCGCATTAGGAGGAGGAGGGCTGCCGTAATAAGTCGGTGGACCGTAATAACCAGGAGGGAATGCAGGTGGTGTCGCGCCCTTTGGTGGTTTTGGTGGGTATGCGGGTTTTGGTGGCGCCGTGTTTGGTGGGTGACTGCCTTTTGGTGGTGATGATTTGGGAGGGTATGGCTTTGGGGTTTGCACTACAGGAGGTTGACTACCAGTCTTTGGCGGTGATGCTTTTGGCGGGTATGCTTTTGGTGGGTATGGCTTCGGAGGGTGTACTGGAGGTTGGCTAGGCTTTGGTGGCGATGCTTTTGGTGGGTACGGCTTTGGTGGTGAAGCTTTTGGTGGGTATGGCTCCGAAGGGTGTACTGGCGGAGGAGGAGGTGGTGGTCGTGGAGGGCATGGTAGAGTAGGTGAAGGTGGTGGTGGAGAGTAGTAAGGGTAACCCATATCCTTGTTATGGGGAGTTTGAACAAGTTCCCTATCACTCTATCTCCCTCAGCAAATGCTAGACAGAGAGATGGATATAATGGATGGACATGCAGGCCATATTTGTACTAGTAATGGGAGTAACTAGGAAGGAAGCTCTTGCAAGTTTCCAAGTCTACCCAAAAAAAAAAATTTCATTTTTGCAAGTGACATAATAATTGAAATTATTCTTTAAAGTTTATACAATTAGTTGTCCTTAATTATGTAAAAATAAAATATAGAGTAGTGGCCTTTGAATACGAAGGCTTCTACAACACTAGGATGTTTTTCCAAGCGTATGCATTATTGGGTGGGTCTCTATCTAAATTCTAAAAGCTCAACTAAATTTTGTAATAAACAAAACAATCGCGTGATGAAATTAGCAAAAAATTATCCACTTTGCAAGCTCATCAGAGCCGATAATCACTTTGTTCTATGCATTCTAGTGCTGTACTGCTCTTTTATAAAAATACATTTGTGCTTTTTTAGATCATAGATTAAGATATCGTTTGGAAGTACTTTTAAATGATTCAAAATGTTTTTGGTGAAAATATTTTTAAAACCAATCATTAGTAAAATGCAAGTGAATCCTCGAAAAGCACATAAAGTTTTTGCTGCAAGAAGCATCAGTTCTCTGCTTCATGCAGGAAACACTTTAAGTGCTTTTAAAACCCAAAAACATTTTCACTAAAAGTACTTTTAAGAATTTTAAGAGTACTTTCAAATGAGCCCTAAGCAAATTGCAAACAAAATAGTCCAACTGTTAAATATATAGCAACAAGGTAGCAAGTAGCAACCTTTCCGGCCTTCCATTTAAAAATAATTCTTTCAACAAAAGTTGTCATTTTTTATATCGCATCATAAACTTCGCATATCTAAGGACGCCAGCAAAGTATTTCATATTCTTCCTTCCCCATATACATGCTACCATTTTCCAATTATGTCCGTAATATTGTGGCCGATTTTCTAAAGGGTATAAAGAGGATGCGGCAAGAGAGAGAGAGTGGAGAGGGGTTGTAGAACGCTTAAAGATTGTGTGGTTTTCCTTAAGGAGGGAGGGAGGGAGAGGAGAAATTGTCTAATAGAAAAGAATCAGTAAGAATAATGAGTAAGCTAAAATCCAATTTAACCGTGATTTACCCAATCATATATATATATATATATATATATATATATATATTAAATAATATTTACAACATGTAATTTACTTTTATTAAAGTTTATATTGGAATCACTATAGCTTTATCTTTTGTCAGTACATCCCTAGTTTAATTCTCTCGTAAGAAGAAAAGTATTTTTATTTCTATAGCTCAAATCTGAACCGCTCCAAATATATCATCCTGTATAGTAAGTGAACAATCCAAAATGGAGGATCATCGAACACAATATTGCCCTTGTCTATATATAGAGTTTTGCCAATCCATTATTAGTTGAAAATTAGAGGATCAAACAGACGAATAAACAAACTATGATACTATGAATATTATTAACGGAAATTAAATGAACAAGAATGTTAAAATGACTACAAATTGAAAGCTACATTTTAGCTGACTTACTTTTCAAACTATATTACAAGTCATATTTACAAAGAATTAAACCTAAAAAACATATAGTATCAAATACCAAATAGACCCTCATACAAAATCAAATCTCTAATTAATTTTCTAAATAAACCAATAAATTCCAACATTATCCATCGCGATCTTAAAAAAATGTACTTAAACCATAATAATTAACATGGAAAGCTTGCTTTTGTGATCAAAATATTGAAAAAGCTGTTGGGCTACTCTCCATATATCTAATTAGTTTTATTTTATGCTATCATAACAGATTGTCCTATGTGTCAAGTCTATCACACGTGCTCTACGTCGTGTTGTCTATGTGTTAGGCTTCAAAATTTGCCACACATAAGAGGGTGTGGTTGATAGTGGATCTCATATCGGAAAAATGAGAAGTCTTACTTGTGTATATAAGTAGTTGAGTTACTCCACATATTACCAATTAATTTTATAAAGGAGCTTCAACTTTCTTCACATGTCACGTACTTAGTTTAACAATTCTTTTTATTTTATTTTATAGGTTATTAACACATTATTATCGTTATCTTTGTTTAATTTGATGTATAGCTCTTTCTCTTAAGAATTATATACATGAGATATTATGTTCATTACTCAAGGTGGCTATCTGAAGTAACCTTCTTCTCAACCTGAAATCTCGAATTCTGAGTATATGTAGTTGTCATTAAGCATCACATGAAAGAGACATATACTTAACCACTATTGTATTACAGCAATGAGGTTTTGGACATTATATTTGTATCGGAATAATCATAGGATATCCAGTAATCCACTTGTTCTGTATTAGTACTTTTCCTTCTGAGGTTCCGGTGCATGAATCAAATGATGGCTTTGCAAAGGATTCATATCCCTCAACATCCACATGGCATCAAACTGTGTTATAACTTTTTAACAAATTATAAGAAGAATATAAGAACAATTAAAAAAAAAAAATCACCTACTATTTTTTTATTGTTTAAAAAAATACTCTTGCTAAAATTGGAATGGCGTGTAATAAGAAGCAATGGTCGAGCTAGTATGAGGTCATTGTTTGTAAAAGTAGCTCCACCCCATTGGGGTAGGCCGGCTCAAAGCACACAAAATAGGCCAGCCTCCCATTTTTTTGCTCCAGCCCAGCCTAATGGGCTAGCACCCAGCCCAAGCCAGTCTCCAAGACAGCCTAGAATGTGCTGACCCAAGGGACGGCCTATGTGACATCAGGCTTGCGTCAGCATGATGTCACAGGCCATTAATATATATATATATATATATTTTTTTTTTTTTTGCGTTAGGCATGTGGGAAACATGCACGAATGGGCACACGTCCCCAACAAAAAAAGGCGGTGGGGCCCACCATTGTAGCTCACCAATTTCTACCTGTGAGTGGCCACGTGGCTCGTTATGGACCGTTAGATTTCCAACGGTTAAAAAAAATTGAAATTGGAACCCAACGGCTAGTTGACGTGGCACGTTCTGGACCATCCGATCCCAAGCTCAACGGTCTACGCTTTTTGTCCAAAAAACAAAAAACAAAAACCAAACGGTCAGAATTATGACTGTTGGCTGTTGGATTTGAATCTTTTTCAAATCCAACGGTCTAGATTAATTAAATTAATAAAAATTGTTTAAAAATGCAAAAAAAATAAAAAAAAAATTATGTTTTTCTATAATACCTAACCATCATCTTCCACCTTACAACACATTTTAGTATTTTCAACACTTTCAACCAAAGCTTTCGTATACTTTTTGTGTGGAAAAAATGGCTACGTGGACGGTCATTGAAGACGTCACGTTGTATCAATGTTGGGTTCAAATTACTCATGACCCGCTTACAGGTAATAAGATGGAGTTGCGAGAAATGTGGAGTAGAATTAGGGAAGTGTTATGCAATAGGCTTGGAGATCGCACAAGAAGTAGTCAAGGTCTTCAAGGTCGTTGGACAAAACTCAACATATCCTTTAGCGGATCAAGTGATATATTTTTATTTATTTATATGTATTCCACCTGCATCAATATTTTAATTTATTTATTTGTGTTACACCTGCATTTATAATATTGTCTTATCCCACATTTTTTTAGACACTACAAGCACAAGCATTCTACAATGCGAAGAACAAGAAGAAATCCTTCACCAAATGAGAATGTTGGGATGTTGTCAAAGATTGTCCAAGATACAAACATGTGCCAACCAGTCCAGAATTTTTCATGCACGACATCCCTCTACACAGTTCGCCATAAGTAGACACACACTGCAAAAAAAGTAGTCATTACTGACGAAGATTTTCCAAGGGCCCAAAAAAACCGTCGTAAAAAGCACACTTTGTGGCCATAAAATATGGGTCATCGGTAACATGGCATGAAACAAATTTTTATTACCAACGCACATAATGTCTTTGGAAAAAGTCTCAAGTTTGGTCGGAAATGCAGTTTTGTTTGGCGGGAAGAATTGGCGCCAATTGTATTAATGACAAGCAAAGATCTTATCGGAAATAGAATGGTTATTTCTGAAGGTTTACTCATGTTAACGAAATTGATTTAGTATTTTCGAGGGAAAAAAAAGCTCTCGGTAATGTTTTTATATTTTTGAGGGAAAAAAAAAGTCATCTTGGTAATGCCTTTATATTTTCAAGGGTGCTTAGTTGTTGTAGGAAGTAATCATATTTTTCCGACAAAATTTTTTCTTTGTCAGAATAAATTTTTAAGGCATATGGTTTTGTTGGAATCAATTATTTACTAATGGTCACAAGTGTCATTGGAATATTCTTGAAATAAGTTTGATGCTTAATTTAAATTCTACAATAAATAGATCATATAACTTAGAATACATATGGAGAAGATTGGACCATAAATTTAAAATAAAACAGTTATGCAAAAAGGTGTATAACTTAACGTAGTATTCTATAATAAAGAAATAATTTGCATGCCTTTGTTAACTCATAACATTTGTCTTGGACATTGAACAAAGTATAACCACATCACTTCCATAACTAAATTGTGAGTTTTCGTTTATAACCATTGAAAAGTTTCGTCTCGTTACCTAATATATGAATGTTTGTTTTTTGCGTTTTTTTTTTGTACGTATGCGATCTTGGGCATATACAAATAAGTTTGATAGTTGGATTGTTGAAACTAGTTTTGTAGAATGTGTATCTCTTCAACACAATAGATTCAACAAATACTTGGAGTTTATTTTATACTTCCATTAAGTAGAACATAATAATTTGTGGTATCCACTAGTTCAAATATTCTAAATTGAAGATCGAATTCGTTCATCGTACTCTTATAGGGTTGAGGAGTATATTTGTAAAATATCAGAATCGGAGTTAAAATAACTGTTAAACTGTGAGTTTTCGTTTATAACCGTTGAAAGGTTTTGTCCTACAACCTAATATCTAAATGTCTGTTTTTTGCCATTTTTTACGTATG